CTCTTGAGCGCTCGATTTGGAGTCGTTCTAAGGTAGTGCTCTAGGATTCTAACACTCACATTACTACTCTAACCATCAGCTCGTACAGTAAAGTCGGGTCATAAGAGACATTGATTCTCTTACACTCGGTCACTCGGGTTGGGGTCATCTTGAATTAGTTTTATTTAGCTTTCTAACCCTTTCATTACTCTAACCACCGAGCCATACAGTGTTCACAGGTTGTGAAATACTTTCATCTTTTTCTTTCTCTCTCTCTCTCACTCTCTTCTCTCCCTTGATTACATTTAGGGGGCTCTTTGGTTTAGTGACATAATTATAAGCTAAGTCATGTAACTTCACTTTTCAAATCTGCCAAGTACCAAGGTTTCGTACCTGGTACTTTTTCTTGTCTCCGGTAATACCTCTTGGGAGAGGTTATGCCAGGAGGCTGCCCAATTTTCTTCCTACCCCGTTAACGTTAAAAAAAGCATAGAAAAAAGAAATTTTGATCATGTGATTCCGCATGATGGACTTGAATGTTCGGTCTCAACAATCATAGAAGCCAAAAAAGAGAGAAAGAAAGTTAATTATGAGAAAGTACGTAGAAAATATAATAGTTAGTCATGTTAATGGCATCTTCAATCAAACTACCACTTTAGCATTTCCCTTCATTTGAATATTTTCATAATATTTCATTATTTTCTCCCTTACCAAGTGTTTTTTGGAGGGCTAGCAATGAGCCAGGCAGCCATGCCAGGCATGGTTAGGCCGGCACTAAAAAAATTAGGGCTTGGGCTCCAACCTGTAGCATGAAGACTGGGCTAGGGCTAGGGCCAGGACCTCGGCCCGTTGCCACCCATAGTTTTTTAACTTTTTCAATTTTTGACAAGCACACAAGGACTTCTTACCCCATCCTGGTATTGCACTTGCTCAAGCATGTTAGTTTGGATCAATGTTATCGGATTTGCTTCACTTCCGCCGTAGAGGCCAGAGTCTTCGCATCAGCTTTAGTTTGCTTCGGCCGCTTCAGTCTGATTCAGCCTCTTCGATCAAAGCACGTAATTGTTATTTATTTATTTTTATTTTTAAATATATATAGATTTATATGTAAATATATACTTTATTTATTTTAAAAATCCTCTTAATTGGCCGCAACACCGAATTATTTAATTTTTTCCACCAAACCGAAAAAGGCTTCAAAGCGAATCCGATAACACATATTTAGATGGGATTTAAGCTCAGTTTTTTAACTACCCATTCCACGCTTTGATTATGAAATTAGAATTTGTTTAGCAGAACTGATGGTCTAGTAATAATTGTTCTGATTTCCATTCAACCTAGTTGAATATGATTAAAAATATTAAAATAAAAATAGTAATTAATAATTTTAAAATATCAAATATATAAAATATATTTATCCAAGTTTGTCTAGCTAATCAAAATTGGCCCATCATAGCCAAACATTGGTTTTAGCCTGTTTCTAACAACTTATTTTTGTTTTGGACTAAACCATCTATAACTATGCATCTAAGAGATAAACTATTTGATATTTTACTTAAAAAATTTATTTAAGTTAAAAAATCGAACCAAAATATACATGATTATTGATTAAAAATTGAAGACAATTAAAGCAAAGCGCCTCTCAAATAGAGTTGAGAAATGTGGTTTCAATACTAGGAATCTTTGTTATAGCCTTAAATTTCATCTCTAATTATAAAATTTTGAGATTAAAAAATAATATAGATCGAGCAAATTTATGAAACTTGAAAATATTGAAAAATTGATGATCCAAATATGCATTACAAGATGCACTATTTTCAAACTTGAAATCCATGTTTTTCTCATGTCCATGCATCTTGATGTCGAGATGATCAATTTGAAGATATTTGGATAGCAAAACAACCTATTATATTGAAATTTTTGAGGTGCGTTCTAATTTGATTGTTTAGAGCCTCGGCTCTATATAAACTTTTACTTTTTCCAATAATTAATAAATCAGGTGTATTTTGATTGATAAATTTCTTCTTAATCTATAACGGAGCGCCGTACGTTATGTTATCCCAACAATCATGGACGTGACTTCAGTTTGTGAACCTCATTGTCTTTAGTAATAATGATATGGGTATTTATAAGGAATGTTCTCTCGCTATATCTACCGTTCTTTTTCACTGGTAATGGTATAAATTCGGGAGCAGATTCTTAATGGGGAACAAAAAAGCTCAGTATCTTAAGCTGAGCAATGGCACATGCCTTCACAGATAGGACAAGCCGACAACATTGGCAGGATCTGTAAAAAGAAACAGTGAGAAAACTCCACTTTTTCCCTCTATTTTAGGTCGAATATGTAAGAGCAGGGAAAAACTGATGCAATAAACCGACCTAAAGCATTAACTTTCAGCTATGCAAGCTTACTGGTCTTTGCTTCTTTTACAGGTCAATGATGGAATTTCGAATATTGGTTCTTCAGTAAAGCTGTCATTTTCTTTTTGCATTTTATGGTGAAATTTAGGTGGAGTTTTCGAAGATAGGCTTTGATGAGTAGAGGAAAGTGGTTGGATTGTTTTGTTGAAATTAAGTTTGGACAAGATGATCAGGAGAGAGATTCATGAATTTTATGGGATGGATTTTGAAATAATGTGGTTAAACTGTAAAATTCCATAATTTCAGACTAAAGTTTTAAACTTGAATTCAATAAAGCTCTGAAACTTGAATTCAATAAAGCTAACTAAAGTATTAATGCTTAGGCATGAAAAATTCACTGATCTCTACACTTTCATTATCGATGAAATTCTAAAAATTATGCGGTAAAATGTCAATTGTCCAATTTTTACAGTGAAACTTTGGTGGCAGAGAAAAAGCTCTGGCTTACTGCGGTTAACAGGAGTCCAGGAAAAAGGCTCTGGCTTCAGCCACAACGTATTTTATATGAGATCTTTTGAATTTATAAGGTAGTTGTTAAATTCAATTTATTGTGGTTCTACATCAAAGCTTTGTCAGTGTATTTGTGGTGAAGAACTTAAGATCGAGCAAGATAGGTTCAGGTATGGTAGGTCAGGCATTTATGGTTTTGCAACAGATAAGTTTTTAACATTGGATAGAAAAGTAGGTTTAACTGCGGTAAAACAGTATTTTGTAGCTTTTATGCACACATTGCAGATAGTTTATATATTAAGAATTTGTGCATTTTGATCTAAGAACTTCGAATCCAAGAAATAGTTTGGGACCTATTTAATTATTTTAAATCAAATAATTCTGTATTCCTTCAAATTTCTGAATTGATAAGGACTTGCTTCTTGTAATCATGAACCAGAAAGAGGGTTGAGGATTTTTTTACTCTCTTAGACTTAGAGGTTTCTTATCAATTGATGTAAATAGTGGTGAATTTTCTGATTTAAATTGGTTAAAAAGAAATCAAAGAATTATTTGGTAGAAAGACCTATAGTTAGAGGGCAAGAGATTTGCAGGAAAAACCTTTTATAAAGGGTAGGTAGGAATTGAAATTCAGTGGAGAACCAGGGCAGGTAATATCAAATAATCGAGTTCAAATAACCTGTGTAATGTATTTACAGTAAGAAGCTTAAATATTGGGAAGAAATACCATAAACTATTAAATTTGTTTCAGATGCATAGATTGGCAGGTCTAATTATTAAACATTTATGCTTGTCGTACTGATCGATATAATCTTGCTTGGGTAATAAATTAGAGTTTCCAGCAGTTAATGTCCTTTTTTTAAGAATTGTTAACTTAAATAGTTAATGTTCATGTATATGATTTGACCTTTTCCAATTAATTGTTACGAACGTGGTTGCTGGAATGATTGTATGCATTTATGACTGAAGGGAAATTTATTCTGGATTGGGGTGTGTCTAATCACGTTGATGAATTAAAGCAAAAAATCTCTTCTAATTACTCAAATTAGCAAATAATTCTCCTTTTTTCTTTTTTTTCTTTTTGAGAAGTTGCAAATAAATCTAATTTTAGTGCTTTCTCTTAGAAAAGTTTGTGATGAGAGTATCATCATCATAGCATTTTCCCAATTCATTGGGGTCAGCTACATAAATCCTGGTTTGTCATTCTGCTTTATTAAAGGCCGTGCCTTTCAGGATTCATGATAATTTTTGACAAAATTTTACATTGACTGCCTGCTTAATACAACCCTACCTTTTTACCCAGGCATGAGATAGGTTAAGGAAAAGTTTAAGGTCATCGCCCTTAGTGATGAGAGTATAATACCTGTTAATAGAACCATGCCAATGCCCCACATTCGTCTATAGATGAACCTGCAGAAAGAAAAGCTTAAGTTTGCGGCATTCACATAGAACCCTAGTTTCTATCCCAGAACCTCACTCTGGTCATTGGATTGGAGTTTGAGATTTCGACCCTCGGCCCTTACTATTTTACCGGAAAAGACTCTGAAAACCTGCTTGGAGCTTTTTTTTAGTTGTGGAATTGGAATGACTAAATGAACCTTACATATGTAAATGTATTGCTTACCTGGACCAAATCGACTAAATGGACTAATTTCAATGATCATGTATTGTTTGCTGGCTAACATCAATTGAGAGACACTGGGGCCTAAAATATCATGTAAAAAATGGTAGAATTTTTATCATAAATACTGGGATTTGTGTTTTGGATACCTTCAAGCAAAAATATAGCCCCTAGAAAAAACAAAAAAAAATACAGTCAGACAAGGCGAAATGCTTTTCAGATCACCGTGGCCAAAAGTATGCACCAGTCCCATGCGCTGGGAAGCTTTGAAGCCTTAAATATCTCAACGGTTTCTTATGTGGGAACCCCTTTATACTGTCAATTAGCCTTAAATATCTGAACAGTTTCTTATGTGGGAGCCCCTTTACACTGTCAATTAAGATTGTGATTCTAATTTGGAGATAAAGGACCATGGCACCATTACCAAAGTAAGACCCGACGTTTCAGTGGAAAAGTAGGCTGACGAAAAGATTGAATGTTTTGGTACGTTGTGATGCTAATGCTCATATCGCTCAAACTGAGGCATTATTGAGTGTCTCCAACTATAATAAATTCATTCTTCATTTTGCATTAATATGGACTTTGTTGAACTAAAGCTCAATAAAAATAAAAGAGACTGATAAAGTTATGTAATTATATCTTCCTGATAAGCAATCTATGTATCATAATTTGAACCCATCATTTGCACATAAATGTTTTGATCTAGATAGAGTAATGGTGGATATAGTGACCAAATCCATTGAGATTTGGACATAAAAATATTACTTTTGGGGGATAGGTGATCGCTTTAACGTTTCAAGGATGTTAAATATTCCAAAAGTAATGATTGGGACAGCAGCATTTGTTGATTTAGGAATACAGTGCTTTCAGTGTGTGGTGCCTTTCCTGCATATGCTATAATTGAATTTGTGGCTATGCTGTTTGCTTATGGAATTGGGTTCAGACCTAAATCCCAGAGGCTAAGCAGACAACCCTTTTGTATAGTTGCTTGAGGGTTACATCAATCCACTGTTTCTGTTCATGCCAACAGAAGCATGATTCTCCCATTTTTTTCATCTTTCTCTTTGCCTTATTAGGTTATTGGTTGTATATTTCAAGACCAACAATTTGTTGATGTGATGTATGTCTTCAACCTCAGGCCCAAACGTGCCAACTAGTTTTGTGTTTTTTAGTGGTTGCCACTACTACTCTGGTTCTACTTCATTCTTTCCATTCTCGTGAGTTCACCAGTAAAAAACGTGAGCCTTTATTTCAGCAAATTTATTTGCCAATTTCATGTGCTTACTGAGAGTGTTTTCTTTCATTGGGTTTGAGTATTGCGTCTACAAAAGGTTGGTTTCAATGGATGCCGGTGTAAATTTTACTTCTGTTAAAGGGGTAGATGTTATTAATTTGAAAAGATAAATGGGTAGATGTTATCGTAGTTTGTGATCCATAGTGTGAATTAGAATGCATCTTTCCTCCCTGTGAACATATCTGGTATGGAATGGGATATGAAACCCACCTCACAGTGGAATTGGGAAAATTTTGCGATGTTTCTTGGTAAAGGAAATGAGACCATAAAGAGGGTTGCACAGCCAACAGATTGGGGAAGTGTTCACAATGGAGATTTCGGTAATGGGCTGTTTACACAATCTGCATCTAGTTTAGGTTATGGTACTTTCTCAAAGAGGGCCATCCCATCCTGTTTTGATTCTTCATCATTTAATATAAGTAGTGGATCCTCAATTTTCTCCTCTGAGCTGAATAAATCTGAAGTCATGAAGGACTCCAAGTACAGGGATGCTAGCTTCCTTGATTTATCCAGTCACTTTTGTTCTTCATTTCACTTACAAGAAAGGATTCCTGAATTTTCCGCCAAGGAGAATGACTACAATGGATTGAAAGGCTCTAACCTTTCACCATTACCACTGGTTTCAGCAAGCTTAGGAGAACCTTTAATGGGTTTGAAGCTTGGAAAGAGGACCTACTTTGAAGATGTCTCAGCTGGAAACAGTATCAGGATTACAGCAGCTTCTTCTGAACCTTCTTTGCTTCCTGGTGTCGTAAAAAGGTCTAGGACATCATGTCAGAGCATCCAAAACTCATATTGCCAAGTTGAGGGTTGTAATGCTGATCTAACTTCATCTAAAGAGTATCACCGAAAACACAAAGTGTGTGATAACCATTCTAAATGCCCCAAAGTCATCGTAGGTGGAAAAGAACAACGATTTTGCCAACAGTGTAGCAGGCAGGTCCTTACTTTGTGAATGTTGATTAAACTTGATATAATTGGATAATTTCACTTCGAAATATCTGCATATTCTATGTTATTATCATCTTTTGACTTGGTTATTCTGTCAGGAACCTTTGATTTACTTCATTCTACTAACCCAATGTTTTCTGTGGCATGGCAATTGGAAGGATCTAATTTTCTCATGCATTGCTGATATATCTTTATTCGGATGGCTACTATTTGCATATGAAAGTGCTAGCACCATAATGATCAAAGATCCATTTGTTTTCAGAGAGTTTGAAGCAGCCATTAGGCCCAATATTTTTCGTTCTTCTTAGATCACTTTCTATTAATTATTGTTATGATATGTTTTCTTCCATGTAATTCTTACACCTTTACATGCCTGATCATGTACAAAGGTTCCATGGTTTGTTGGAGTTCGACGACAGAAAAAGAAGCTGTCGCAGGCGCCTAGCTGATCATAATGCCCGTCGTAGGAAGTCACAGCCTGATGCAATTCTATTGAACCCTTCTAGGACAACTTCCTCCCATCATGGTACCATGATTCTTTTTGTGCTTAACATCATCAGATTTGGTTATTCATAATAACAATAATAAGAACTATCATATAATAAAAGGGACTTGGTTATCTGTAAATAAATAAAACTATTATCAGATTGGTTATCTACAAATAAAAAGTTATCATATTCGGTTCCTTACATATGCTACCATCCTATTCCAGTTAAAGCGTTGAATTCCTGTATTATTAATTGAACAAATTTATGGATTAAAAATAAAAAATGAAATGAGAATTGTCTGAAAATTAAATTTTTGGACTGCATTTTTTTTTATGGGCTTCAACTACTGTAATTATTTACCAGCATTAAAAAATATAAATTCATTGCAACTTATATGTTAGTATAGGAAAATATGTTTTGTATTACGTTTGTTTGTTGTTGGTTTAACTTCAAATCTCCAAGAAGTTAATTTACCCAAACATAAATATGTTCCTCTATTTTAATTTTTTATATAATAAAAGCAATCTCCGTCTGCACAGGCATGCACACATTAGACAGCTGTCTATGCTTTGCATGGCAAAAACCACCCAGAGAGAGAGAGAGTATATTGCTTTTACGAAGAGTCTTATGCACTGAACCACAGGTCGGAAATGTTGTTTATATTCTACTTAAGCAAGGCTGCTTTTGAATGTATAGATTGCAGGTCCCTGGAACGACTTGCATTGGATCCGGTGGCATCCACTGCAGCAACAACAACAACGAGGTCATCATCATCGTCTTGGGAGGACACATATGGTTTACGCTTTGCGCGTTCGAAAGCTTCTTGGGAGAGTCTCACAGAAGAATCTCATGTGGCAAATTCAGAGATGCCATCTTTTGACAGGATGCTAATGCTCAGGGATGCCCCTTTGCAAACCTTCCATCAAGGTAAGGCTCTTTTGAACTATAACATTTTTTTTTTCTTTATTACTGGTTAAAAAACTCGGCTCGGGCTCGGGACTCGGGCCCTACCTGAGCCAAGTAACTTAGATGATTCCGACTGGACTCCGAGTTTTCGATCACTGCTTTTTTGGCCAAAAAGCCCACCATTCTCTTTGCTGAAATGACAGTAGCCCGTTCATTTACTGTAATTTTTCATTCTAAGATATCTTCTCTGCTAGCGCTTTTTTTACTGAAAAAACAGATGTTCTTTTTAATTATCATTGAACGGATCATAGTCACTATGTTTCCAGTTAAATGATTAACCTCATTTAACCTCAAAACTTTTTACGCAACTGTGAAATTGGATGCTGATTAGTCCTAGTGGTTCTTGGACATTTTGGTCAAATCGATCGCAAAATTAAGAGCATAGACGCCAATGTAGGAAAAATCGAATCGGAACGGTTATCCAAACATGTGGCCGTAAGCAGTTCAACCAGCCTGACTAGTAAACAGGCCGGTTCAACTGTTCTAACTGGTCAAGTCTCAAGCAGTCAAAAAAATGTTAAAAAAAATACAAAAAAAAACTAATAAAATATAAAAAGTATATTGAAAAAATGATTACACAAAGCACATCCAAATGAAGTTGAAAACAAATGAAAAAAAAATAGATTTAAAAAATTAATTTGTCCAGTGGTATTTTTGAATTTTTTTCAAAAAAGATAGAAAAATGTAAAAATAATTATTAATGACCAAAAAATTTTCAATCTTTACCATAATGATGAAAAACATTAAAAAATGCATTGCAAACAAAATCCCTTATTTTTTGAGATTTTATATAATATTTTTTAAAAATACCTCGCCGGTCACCAAAGTTGGCCAAAATCGGTACCAACCAATGGCCGGTTCCAATCGAATTGAGCGGTCATCTGTTAGACCGCCCGATTTTTCCTTCAATGCTACACACGATATATTGGATACTGCCCAAAAATGTTAATCAGCTTATAAAAAAACTGCTAATCTATAGATTTTGGAAACAATTCGGACACCTTAACTGAATGATAGTCCCAACATTCGTATATTGAAAAAATACAAGGATTCCATAAATGCGGGATTTTCCTTGGATCTCATCATCTACAACATTATCATAAAAGCCAAATTTGCGGGACCTTTTACTAGTCAATTCAATGATTTATGATCTCTTCCAAAGAGATATCCAACATATTTCAGGATTTTGAAATGTGCTTGCACCAACTTCCGGAACGGCTCTTTCTGTGGGGGCATCATGGGGGGTTTAAGCCTATTTTTCCTGTGGGGCATCATAAGGCTATTTTGGAAGCCATGGGAAGCCGGGTTTACCAAAATAGGATCCCACTTCAAGATAACAGGGGAAGCGGTGGAAGCCGTGTTTTCCACCAATCAAACACACCCTTAAGTTTCCAAGCTACCCACCCCACCCCATTTACAATTTCAATGTTTCCTGCAACTTTTACTGAGGAAATTAGTAGGTGAGTAGTGTGAATGAATTATATGTACCGACATTTGGGTCCACAATTGCAGGTATCGAAGCCGGATCTGCGGGCTTGGAGGAAGCCCCAGATCGTCGGCGTGCTCTCTCTCTTCTGTCATCGGATTCGTGGGGCTCAACAATGGCCCACTCGCCTGCCTATCTCACGCAATAAAATAATGGATTCAAGACTTGAGGCCACCTCACCTGGTGCCATAATCATGACCACTGTTTTCTGGTAGGTGGCACTTGGTAAGCTCAATTTCTCTTCAATCTTATTACTCCGAATTTCTCCTTTTCATTTTCAGTGACAGAATTTTTCGGTGAATAAATTTTTATTTTATATTGGCTGCTGGTATTGTATATTATGTGGCCTTTTGCGAAATACTATTTGGCAAAGGTGCTTTTTCGTGAAAATAAAAGGAAACTTTAACTGTAATTATGGATTGAAAAAGAGGGGCCAACTTAGGTGAAATTTAGGGTCTATTGGTTCCCTTGTGGGATAGGAAAACATTGTGCTCGAGAGTTGAGAATCTAAATCTTAGGCCCATTTTGGAAGAAATTCATGACTAATGACCTGGGGAAACATAATTTGAGAGAGAGAGAGAGAGACTGTCTTCAACCCCACCGGCCAGGGAGGGAGAGAAAGAGGTTGTCTTCACCCCCTCGCCCCCGGCCGGAGTGAGAGTGAGAGTGAGAGTGAGATTGAGATTTTTGTGCCTGTGTGAATGAGAGAGGGGGTCGCACAAATGATGCAATAGATCCTCCAATGATGAGAGTAGAAAAGAAAATAACTGCTCATCATTGTATTTTCATTGTAATTTTTTTGGCAATTTGGATTTTCACGAAAATTTTCACATGCCTAACTTAAAACTTTAAAACAAAATAATTTGAAACAATAAATTGACCTAAATGCTATTGAATACTTTAAAGGTATTTTGATCAATTTAGTTTCTGCAATATAGTTTTAGGTACGCTAGTTGAGAAGTGTGGACTCTCAAAATTATAAATTAATACAATTTGTAGGAAAAATAAAAATAAAATATAATATCTTTAGTTGGGCCTAATTGACAAGTTTGGATGCCTTATTAGTTAATTCAACATAAACTATGAAAATATGGGGCTATTTTTTAATTATAAAAAAAAGAAAAAGGATTTATACATAAGTTTTCCTTAATTCAATTTGTAGAAAAAATGAAAAATTATAGTTTAGCAAGCAATCACGGCGACCCACCCATTTCCTGCCTTTCTAATTTGCATTGTTGGGAAGGCACTTTTGCAGCGTTCTAACGTATAACTTGATGTGACCTCTATATACTAATGTAAGGGTGGCAAAGTGCCGAGCTTGGACCAGGTCAACTTTGGCCTTGACTCGGCCCTCATCCACATAGGCCTGGCCCAAGCCCGGCCTTTGCTATGTTAGGATTTAGGGCCTGGCTGGGCCAGGCTACAAAAAAGAAGAAAAATAAAACCAAACGAGGACAGGCAAGCACTGGCTCAGCCCTTGGGCCACCGTTTGTGGCCTAGGGCCCTACTTTGTTAGGGCCAGGCCGACCTGCCCATTGCCAGCATCTCTTTCTTGCAGTTACATCATAGCTTGGATCATCACGCATAGATATTACGAGTACGAAACTACGAATACCATGCTCCGGAGGGAGCATGTAGTTTTACATCTACTCCTTTACTGAAAAAACATACTTGAGAGGATTTTTTCGGTCCGAAATTTTGGGAACCACTTAAGAATAATTAGATAATTTTTTTCTGAAAAAATTTTGAATTTTTAGTTTTTTTTATGCTCATAACTCACCTTTCAAAACTTGGACGGTCTCCCTTTTTTAGGTTCAGCCGGCAAGTCACCTTTCAAAGAATTATTGTTTTGAGACATTACTTATTTAATACATAGAGAATTCCATTCAGCAAATCTTTTCTTTTTTTTATACTGGGGATAGCTAATGGGTTGAGGACGTTACATCCCCAAAACTTAGGGTTATGAAAGACTCCTATATTGAGTTTTACCTAAGGACCTCTTATATTGAATTTTAAACCAAGGAAGTAAACGGACAGTATACAATTTGGGAAGAAGTACGGAACTCATTATATCATGCTCTTGCCATCTTCCCCATTTGTGAAAACTCTACAAAGGGGCCGGGGCTCTTGGTTGGGCAGAGCATCAAGGGCCGAAGCGCAACATCCAAGACTCCAATCCCAACTAAAAGCTACTGGAAAAGCATCGACCCATGGGATTTCCCAACCTCTTTCATTAGAGAAAAAGTCTACTCAAATGATCTTTTTCCCAATTGATAGGGAAGTAATTGGTCACTCTCGATAAACCTTTTCCAAGGATTTCCCAACCTTTTTCATTGGAGAAAAAGTCTACGATCTTTTTCCCAATTGACAGTGAAGTAATTGGTCACTCTCAATAGACCTTTTCCCCAATTGATAGGGAAGTAATTGGTCACTCTCGATAAACCTTTGCCAAGGATTTCCCAACCTTTTTCATTAGAGAAAAAGTCTTATGATCTTTCTCCCAATTGATAGTGAAGTAATCGGTCACTCTCAATAAACCTTTTCCAAGTACATGTACGGATAATTGATATGATTTGAAAAAGTAATTTTGTTATCAGGATATCAGTGTTATCAATTAACAATATGGTTTAAGACAAAGTATATGGAATGCAAGTTTAGTAATAAAATGAGTAGAACTGATAAAGTAGTTAAGATTGACAACTAATAAATACAAGAAAGAACGTACTTTCAAATCTTGGGTCAATAATCCAAGAAAATAGAGAGATTGAGAAGATTTTGTACATATAATTAGAACTGGGTGAACAAAGTGGGGTGAGCAAAGTGAGATGTGCAAATAGATGTAGTCGCCGCATACTCATAAATCTGAAGGAGAAGTTCTATACAACTGTGAGACCAACTTTGTTTTGTTGGACGGAATGATGGGTGGTCAAGAGATAAAAATACCCATAAGATAATTGTAGTTGTGAGACCAACTTTGTTTTATGGGATAGAATGACGGACGATAAAGAAACAAAAATACCCATAGGATAAGTGTAGATGATATGAAGATGTTAAAATAGATGAGTGGGAGGACAAGAATAGATAAAATTTGAAACGAATACATTTTGGAGAACTTAGATGTGGCTCCAATAAACGATAAGATGAAAAAAATAGACTTATGTGGGTCTACCATATGCAAACCAAATTTAGTACAACACCCATTAGCAAGTACAAGTTGGTTCGAAATGGAAGACTCCAAAAAGGCAAAAAATATACTCAAAAAGACATGATTGGGAGTAGTGAGAAAAAATGTGAAGACCTATAGTCTCATTAAATATATGGTTATTGATAGAGTGGAATGGAAAATCAGAATTCGTGTAGCTGACCCCAAATAATTGAAAAAAAGTTTTGATGACGATAAGTGGACTTTTTTTTTATCAGGATATCATTGCATTTGTCGTTTTAATAGGGAATTCCTCGGATAATTATTGGATTTTAATGTATCAAATTAAATATATTTACATCGCTATTATAAAGGCTTGGGACAAAGAAACTGACCTTGGAAGAGCAGCATATAGCCGGGCGACTCCTTCCTTTTGACCAACCAAGGATTTATCACTATTTTTATTCAGATTGATGAATTTGATTTCAAATTACACACAATACAAATAAAACTATGCTTAAAAAAATTATAAATCACAAATTCCTTATCAGAATTCATTATCCAACTCAACAGTTTTAACAACATAGCTGCTATCAATTATTTGCAAATTGCTTTCAATATGCCTTATTTGAGATTTTTTTAGAGTATCTTTTAAGGAGCCCTATCAAAATAAGTAAAGCCTCACCACAAAGCTCATCAAAAATTACAATTCAAATGTTGAAAACCGTTGAAATCAATCATAGCTTGAACATTACACCACATAACTCATCAAAAATTACAATTCAAATGTTGAAAACCCTTGAAATCAATCATAGCTTGAACATTACAGTAGTGAAAAAAATTAAGATTTCAAATTCGAAAAATAGTGTGCATTGCAACAAATCATCAAACCATCCATTTCGCCCAAAAAATAAGCATTCACATATTTGCAAAATTTGTACCATTTTTAAGTTTTAAATTATCGGTGATAAAAATTAATTTTAGAGCCATCATGAAGTTTTACAATGCCGAAAGTGCTTTCTAGATGAGGATTTGAGGTAAGGCTTTATTTCGTTTCATAAAGCCTGCGCCCTATGGAAAATTCATCCTTTAAGTAATGAAGTGTTTCTTTTCAAATTTAAATTTCCAACCTTGCTATCATAATATATATGTAGAGAAACTTTTATCATGATAATAATAAGATGTCCTAGTTTCTTTAAGCTTTAAACTAGACCGGCCAAAGAACCAGAGGATGGTTCAACAGATCGGACTGGATGGTTTGGTTAGTATGCTACCACATTCAAATGATTAATACAACCACCCTGGAAGATGCTTGCTTTAGTAACTCACAAATAATCCTACTTAAGAGAATAGCTTTTAAACATAAAAAGGCCTCGGAGGCACCCAAGATTTCGGGGTGCCATTCTTATACAAACATACAAATTTTCTGGTTACCCTCAATTTCCGGGAGCAATACTCATATAACGTTTACAAACGTGTGAAAATTTTAGAAAGGGCGAGGAGAGAGGATCGCCCAACCTGAAACTGGCTTTGCAGTCCATCACTATAACCATCTCAATTGTCATGGATGCGCTCGAAGATTGCCAAGCAGCTCGTGTACTCAGCATCAAGTCATTTGTGCTTCATCAGTAGTACATATACTCACTGGGGTCCGAGTCATCAGTTCGGCGAGAAGCACCAGGATCATCTAAGCCAGAGGCCGAAATGGCAGATCTCTTGTTCATGCTTGAACGTTGCACCAATCGAACCAGAGCTTGCACCACTTCTGACATTGGTGGTCGGAATTCCGGTTCAGGCTGCCCATTTAAATTCATAGATGTAAAGCACAAGAGACAATGACATTGAGACCCATCAGAGAGACCAAAATAGATATTCCTAGCCAAGACATGCAATAACACTCAGAAACCCCCTAATATAAGATGTAAAGCACAATAGAAATTGACAATGAGACCCACCAGAGGGCAAAAATAGATATTCCTAGCAAAGACATGCAATAACACTGAGCTATGCTTTAAGACTCGACCGAGGTCACTCGGAATAAGCCAAGTAACTAGGCATAAGGGTGAGGTGAGTTTCTACCGAGTACAGTGTACACTGAGTTTTATAGGTTATCTATTATATATGTCTGTTTCCCATCAAAAGTCGCATAGGTGCGTTTTGGATACTACGAGCCTTGATCCTTACAAGAAGGGTTCCAATCCCCACGTCCCTCATTTTTTTGACGCTTTGATAAAGTAAAAATAAAAGAGACGTGTTAAAAAAGCAAAGTCCCGCAGCCTTGATTCTTTTTGCTGTAGGGGTTCACTGGGAATCGAACCCAACATCCCTCTTGGAGGGCTCCAAAAAAGCGGCAAGTCTAGCCACTACGCCACCCAACTATTAATGTTAAATTGTGGACAGATTATTTTATATATCTATTATATCATTTTCTTTTTTTTAAAATAGGACACAACTCAGGCGAGCTACTCGGACTCGCTTGAGTAAATCACCTCGACCAGGGCCCGAGTACCTTGGCCGAGTTGATTTTTTGAACCTCGACACTGAGAAACTCCCTGAGATGAGAGAGGGAGAGTATTTTTTTTTTTTTTTTTTTTTTTTGGGGGTAAATCAGTGGGGAGGACAGCCCCTACCCATTTTTTCAAGTAGTTTAGGAGTTAACTTTTTGAAAGTATTAACGAGATGGTGTTAGTAGTGGGAATGGAAACTACATGGTGACTAGAGTGTGGGGGTTCTATCACCACGACTCCAGCCCCTTTTCCAAGAGAGAGACTTATTACGCAATGAGAGTGTGTGTGCATGTGTGTTTACTATATCATGATGTGTGTTCGCCATACTGTAATAGATGGCAAGAGATGGATGGCAAGGTGAGGAGCCATGCATCTCTTGCTGTCCATTTTCAAAATGCAAAGGCATTGTGTCCAACACAGCAGGTTGTACACCAAAAAGGGCATAAGAGAAGGGAATTTTACCTGGACACAAAGTGCTATAACATCGGCAAATCGAGATAGAGATTTCGGGGGGTAGAGCCCACGTAGAGCCGGATCAACCATCTTGGCCAATGCATCAATGTCATGGAGTTGGGGAGTGGCCCACCGTACCAAGTACTGCTCTGATCTTGGCTTGAAACTATTAAATACAAAACAACACACAATATAAAATCCCCCATAAAATAGCCAGAAAAATTGCCTAAAAAGACCAGCTTCTTAGAGCTAGGAAAGTCTGTCCGTAGTGCACCACATATTGTCGATTTCCAAGTTTCTTAATATTGAGGCATCTTCAAATGAATAAAAGATAACAGGTATCTTAGGTAATGAACATCAACTTTTGAGTTCTCAACATCAATTCCATTAGTTAAAACTGGGCAAGAGAAAAGCCATGCATAAATTAGAGATCTCTAAGCCACAAGGAAGACCTAAGCAATTTCGAACAAATAATTCGAGACATCCAAACAAAAGAAAAGCAAGAATAAACTCTCCTTTTTTTTTCTTGGTGCACTCTACTATTCATGAAGCAAGCGAGGTTATTATGTCCATATTATGGAACCTATTAATGATTCTGATGGTTACCTGTCAAAGGGCTTCCGGCCAGTTAACAACTCCAACATCACAACCCCAAAACTGAACACATCACCTTTCAAAGTATATGTGTCCACTGTGGTGCACTCAGGTGCATTATACCCAACCTGCAGATATTGGTTATTTATCAAGGAAATTAATGAAGTGGAATATAACTACATGGTTCTAGACTTTATCACATGTTCTTTCCTGATAATTAAAGCTTTTTACCTGGTGGTCGGCATTAGATCGGAAACTTGCTAAGCCACAATCAGAAAGGTGAGGATTGAGTTCAGTGTCTAGCAAGATGTTAGCCGACTTGATGTTTTTATGAACAGCAGAGGGGGAGCACACTTCATGCAAATACCTGAGTATATAATAAATATATAATGGGGTAAGCGTGAGGCTGTAGATGATCATGATGTAATATCTTACATGGTGGAGAGTGATGTCAAGAATCTGAAGACCATATGATGATATGCCATGATGATGCTGATGATGATGATGATGAAGATGAATGATCATGGGAACAATAGTAAAGGGGCCCCAACTACCGCAGCCATAACAGCACAATGACTCAAATGATGATGATTCCAGGCATTACATATCAGATCATGATAATAATGATGTCAAGCATGTTAACGATGTTAGCTGATGTGCTGATAATGATGACAGTGATGATTAATGATGATGGCAGTAATTGTAATGGCAATTCATCCTCCATGGCAAAACGAGCATGATATACCATATAATTATAATTGTAAACATTATGTAAAATATTATTATAATACTAATGAACGTGATGATAAGAATTATTGATGAAACACACAAATGACAAGGCATCCATTAAAAATAGCTTACTCTAGAGCCCGAGCAGTTCCAAGAGCAATCCGGATCCGAGTATTCCATGTCAGTGGGTTGCTATAGTCATCTGAGAGATGAAGGAACTTGTGAAGTGAGCCAGTCCTCAATAATTCATACACTAACAAGCGCTGACCGTGCTCTGTGCAATAACCAACAAGTTCAGTGATGTTTGGATGGTGCAGCCTCGAGATGTTGGAAATGACACCCATGAAATCTTCAGTTGAGTCCCGTGGTAGGGCTGCTGGATCAATCTTCTTCACAACCATAAGCTGATAAAATGGATAACTAAATATTTAGGTCAACATGTCATAAAGTGAAAAACTATTCTCCTTTTTCCTTTTAACAATAACTAGCTAAATTGTACTAGCCAATTTTTTTTTTTCTCTTTTGATGGTTATACTAGTGAACATTTTAAAATGAGTTTACATTACCATTGCCACCATAACTAGTTGCATATCCATATTCCAAGTAGTTTTGAGTTCAATTATCTAGCGACACCATTTCTAATCTATCCAACCAAAAAAGAAAAACCACATCCTTTCTAGTTAATCAAGAACAGCTAACTTTATATTAAAGAATGACCTAATTCCTTTGGAGAAATTCATGGCATTGCCATCATTTGCCAGAGCATAAAGGACAGCATGGTTTGCTAGAGCATTTCCAAAACTGCAGGGAATTGGGGGTCAAGCAGAACTACAATTGTCATAAACAGACTCTTAATACTAAACAAAATCATCTCATTCAGTGCAAGTTTTCCCTCGTTTTATGGCCATATTTTTAGGAAAGTATCATTGGAATCACACCTTTCCATCAGCAAACTGTGCCTTATAAACACGCCCAACAGATCCCTCTCCAATAAGGTGATTAGCACCAAAACTTCCTGTGGCCTTTTGCAGATCTGGAAAAGAATAAGAGATTGCACTTATAGGAGTGTTACTTCTCTTTGCATTGAACTTGTTAGCGAAATCAGTCTCATTAAAGGACTTCAGCCGATCAGATGGAGGAGGCTTGAGAGCCATTGAAGAAGAGTTCTGCAAAGTCTTCATTGTTATAGAAGAAGATGACTCCATTGTCCTCAGTTCTGCCATGCATATGTCGTTCAAGTAAATCAGGCACATAAAAAATAATTCTGACAGACCCACCTTTAATTACTAACAAAAAAGACCCACCTTTAAACTCATGTGAGACTAGTGGACTGAATGGTCTGCATTGGCTAAGATTTTCTTCATTGAGATAATGACTTGAAGAAGATCTTCTAACTAAAAAGGCTACCAAAATCCCAGCAACCACCAAAACTCCTATCACTATTCCAGCTATAGCTACCCCACTTAGACCAGATTTCTTGTCACGTTCCCCACCTTTGGATGAATGCTTGACACTGTCGGATTTTGTTCCTGAGCTGCTTCTACCATGTTCTGAAAAACCCCCAGGCGAATTTGGTGGAGGAGGTGCACTCCCGGAAGACCACGAATTACCTGAAGTTCTAATTCCATAATAAAAGAAGATGGAGAACCATAAGGAGAAAATCCAGGCAACAAGCGTCTCCTTCATGCCAAAGAGAAAAACAGAATAAATTTATCAGTTTATATGATTCTTACTGAATACTTTTTATATGCTTCAACTCCTCCGGTATCCATCCACCAAATTTGTTATTTTCCAAATGTCTGTCATCAACAAAAACAGTTTTCAACAGGTGACTCTCCACGAATAAGCATTAAATGTTAGACAACAAGTCTAAAATCTAAATTTTTTGAAAGTGGTAACAATCTCTCTGAATCGTTGGGACCGGAAAGTATTATTAAATAGTTACGTTTTAAGTGGTTGCATTTTCTAAATAATCTAGGGTGAAGGTTAAAGCCCATCTAAGACTCACAGTTCATCAAGGGGAATACTGGCAAGGACATCAATTGGACCAGTAAATTGATTGTTCTGTAAGCGCCTGCAAGAGCAAAGTAAGCACACATAAATCAAGTGCAACTCTGTGATAGTATGTCCTATAGAGTATGAAGGTCGATGTTTTGTTGCCTTACAAAGTGTTGAGACTTGAGAGGGATCCAAAACTCTGAGGCAGGTTACCAGATATGCTATTGAATGAGAGATCTCTGCATATATATAAAAATATATATAGGTCAAAAATCTATAGTCACAGTTATACTTAAAAAAATAATACACGAGGGGTATTTCTCACAATAATCAATACAGAGCAATTACATGGAGGGAAAGCACGCTTTAACCCAATGTACTTTTTGAAACAATGAAGTCCTCCCACCAAAAATTATTTCAATATGATGAACCTAGTGGACATTGAGCATATAAAAGACCATTGGGTTTAATACAGGAACTGTTAAAGAGATTGCTTACAGCACACGAAGCTTCCGAAGATTCCCAAACATATCATTCAACTGACCATTGAGCTGATTATGACCAAGATTTCTGCATTCACGACGAGAACCTGATGAGAAAGACCCCGAATGGCCTACTAACTTGGGACAAGTAACAACAATGATAAAAGGAATTACTTCACTTACAGATATTTAAGGTCAGTCATTGAAGAAATTGAATAAGGAACCACACCAGTAAAGCCATTACCAGCCAGATTTCTACAAATAAAAATCACGGATTATTGCCAAATCTGCTTTTACCATGTTACCTATGATTACATACCACAAAATTCACAAGGGAACTTGTTAGGTTTACCAGTAACTTACATATGCAGAACATTTGGTGGAAGGTTGTATGGAACATCACCTTCAAGGTTGTTACGACTCATATCCCTGTACTATCGCAAACAAAGCAAGCAGTTTTTAGTTAAATCACTACAATAACATGTAAAAGAAAAGGAAATTGCTTAGTTACAAACCATAGGCCTCACAAGTAAGTTAAAGATGTTAAGCTTCGTAGCTGGTACCCCATTGACCCACTCAATCCAAGGCCTGCCAATTTGCTGCTCGATTCCACCGAGAATGAGTAATATAAGTAAAGCTCCATTATAAATGATTACTCAAAAAATATCAAGGTAAATAAGATGTGAAAGAAAAAGAACCAAAGAAATTAAAAAGTAATATATATATATATATATATAATGATCATAGAGGACCCTCCCCACCCATGTATATAGGACCCAAAAGATCACAAGTTGGTATGGATCTTTAGAAAAGTTATCACATGGGTATAGGATTTGACTTTTCTATAGATCCATGTCAAATTTAATGGTGATCTTTTAGAATCCTACACACATTGGTGGGGAGGATAATGTAAGTTCATTTATAT